GAGTAGCTTCTACACATTTAGAATTCCATGTAAATTTCATGTATTTTAAGAGGAACTCCTTTTTCTCTATTGAACGTCTGCAAGCCTCTGGAGCAAGAATGAAAAGTAGAAACGCGGATAAATTGTCAAAATTTCGTAATTATTCCATAACAAAATGTCATTTTTTTTTTTCGATGCGTTATGCAATGCATTTAATTTGAAACTTCAGTATTGCTTTAAAAAAAAACAACAATGAAAACAAAATTCGGGATGGAATACCAAAATAGCACGGGAAAAGCAAAGTTTTTTTAAAGGCGTTGTGAACCATTCAAATGTACCCCCAAAAGGGTTTTGGAGTTGCTTATATATTATATATTGAAATGATTTTTCTGCTCTGAGGGCATGCTACCGTAGCCTGACAATCTTAAAGATTGTACCCCAAAAATGAATATCTGTCCCCTAATGCTTACTGACTGTTATCTAAAATATCACGCAATGTATCAAAGGTCCAAAACTGAAGTGTTTACGGCGTTTGCGAATGTTTACAAAGTCTGATGCCGCTGGCTAGATAAAGCCCAATAGAGTTGGGTTTCCCGTGCTTCGGTTCTGTTTTCGTTTCGGGAGAATTTGAGGTCCCTAACTTAGGGGAATCCGGCTCAGTACATGCCCTTATTCTGCTTCAATACAGTACAATAAAATCAATCTTTATTATCCCATTGTGGACAAGTTAGTGGCCTTTTGACGCAAATTTACAAACACATAAAAAGCATTAATGTAAAAACGGCACCAATACAGACATATATAGCACATAAATACGTGAAAAAAAATAACTCATACAATCTTTAGGCAAGTAAAATGAATTATTTACTGTGTAACTGGCTGCTATTTCAATATGTTTTGCATACGAAGCCAACGTGTGAAGAATATCAATTTGGTTGTGACTTTACAAACTCCAAGAATGATTCTAAAGTCAGAGACGAAGCCGTACCCGGGGATGAATCCGTGATTTGGTAAACTACCGGCGATAAACCCATGATCTGGTGTCCCGCCTCGTCATGTACAAACCAATTAAAAACAAGATCAGCTCAGACGTAGTGTGTGAATTTGCAAGGGTTCATTATCAAAACGAAAATAGTTATGCGTATCTCGAGTTACAGTTCATATTATCTATTGTGTTTACTTAGAGGGGCGTATAGCCGATTTACATTCAATCCATCGCAGTAGGGCATTGCACCCCAGCACAAAGACAACTTCTAGATAATTTTCCTCTCTGATAGTGAATTTCACACCTTCCTTCAACTCGGCGAATACCAAAATGCTGCGAAAGACCATTCAGGATTTGGATTCGGGAAGAGGGCGTTTTCCTCTGTGATTCTGTACAGACAACCCGCCTTCTCATTACGCGAAAACCAAAAAGTAAACCTTTGAAAGAAGAGCGTTTGTTTCTTAACAACATCTTCCTGAAAGAAAACTCCAGCCACACAAATGTAATTTAATGTGACCTCGCAGTTGCTGTGGTCGGTTTAACGTACAAACCTGAGCAAAAAAGGAGGTATTTTCCTTTGCTCGCCACGCCAAACCATTTCTAGAAGCTACTGAACTATCGACGATTACTGTGGTAGACGCCAGTCGGGTTTTTCTTGGAAACAAGGAGACCATCGACACAATGGATCCGAAGACAATCAAAACAGACACATGAAAGTCGGAGGTAAACAGCAATGACATTTATTCATTTCAAATGAGGGTCATAATTGTAACTGAATATCGAAGGATTTTTTTGAATCATTGACTCTTTCCAGATACTTGTGTCAAAGTTGAGTGAACTTGTGCAATACTTTTACGAGACTCGTGACAGTGGTTGTACTTTGACTATAGCTTCAAAAGGAATTATTCAATGATTCTATTTTAGAATAATGCATTTCTTAAACTACTCGGGATTCCCCCCTTTGTTCACAGTAATGCCAAAGACGTAAAACAGAAACTGCAGGTCTTTGTCCGGACTCCCATCCCACATAAATCCAAGACACTTTATTTCGAACTCCATCCCGAGACATCCGTCTCATCTCTGAAAGAGGTAATCCAGAAGAAGATCGGTGTGGAGGCACGACATCAGCGTCTGTACATCAGGGAAAACGTCCAGGTCGGTATCAATTTCATATATATCCAGTCTAATGTCCGCATTGTGGGATTATATATTTTCCAACTGGGGACATCACGAAGAGGTACATTTATGTCCGCAAGAGGGGCACTTGGGTAAATCTGAGGGGGGGGGGGGTCCCCCGCCACCCCCTCCCCGAGTGTTCCGCAGCCCCTGCAAACCGAAGAAAATCAGTATCCATTCCTTCCAACAAGGCTCCAACGATCGTAATTTGATGGCTGTTTAAACAATGCACAACTAAAATCATCTCTCTTTCTCCTCTGATTTTGTAATTTCCTTTTTTTACATGATTTCACTTTGTTAGCTTTGTGACTTGCTCACACTCGAGGAGAATGGCGTTGAAAAGGATAAACTGATCTCTTTTCGTCTATCATTAGATGACGCAAATGATGACGATGTACCAAAAGGTAAATGATAGAGGGTAGGAATAAATGTTCTGGTGAAAAAAATCTCAATTTGAAAATATATGATGAAAACAAGTTCAAGCAGTGCTCACCAGGAATTTTTGTCGCTAAATTTTGGGCCTGACTAGGCCTTCGTCGGAGCTGGTAGTTGGACAGGCGGATTGAATGCAGAAAATTCCACATTTAAACCTAAATTTGAGCTTTGAGCTTTTAAAAAAAGAACATGATTTCTTTCTGTTAAACTTGTTGTTGATAACTTATACCGTGGTGGTCGTGTTTTAAAATGTTTCACTGACGTTAATAGTTCTTTTTAACAGACAAAGCAAACATTGACGATGAGTACCTCAAGGACTTGTCCTCAAAAATCGAGTCATCATGGAAGGAATTGGCCAAACACTTAGGATACGAAGAAGCGGAGATTGCAGACATCCAAACCACCAACGAAGGCAGCAATGACGAGAGCCGTCACGTGCTACTCACTTGGTGGGAAAAGACGACAGATCACAACGAAGCAGTTCAGAAGCTGAGACGAGCATTGGAGGCCATCGGGTTGACTGATTTTGCCCAAAATGTACCGGGTGAGCTAATGTGCAAACAAGCAGATACATTTAGGGATTAATTAGAGATGAAACTTTACATGAGACGCTATAATTTAAGGATAAAAATATATGGTACCCCGCTCTCATACCGGACCCTTTAAACAAATAAGCAACTAAAAAAAATACCTAATTGTTAAAAAAACTGCCAACTTTAGAAAATAAACCACAAAAACAGTAGAGATAGTTTAAAACATTTGGTAATATGATCGCTATATTTTCCTTTTTACATCAGTAACGAGCGAATCAAGAGACGAAGCAGCTGGAGCCGAGCCAGAAAGGCGTCAAGATGCAGGAGTAGACGAGGAGAGCAAACAAAATGGGGCGGTATCAACCGAGGAAGAGAAACTGAAAAAGGAACAAGTTGACGATCAAGACAAACCTCAGCTAATCAGGTAAAACATGATTAAACACTGGCATACGTATTGCACCTCGTGTTTGAAGAATTACACAGGCATCAAAGTTCGTTGGTTTTTTTTTTTGACAACTCCCTTGGAAAACAAAATTTCCTCATTTTAATAATAGCGTAGAGTGTGGTTACGGTGAAAGTTGATGGTCTTTATCTTTGTTCCTTTAATATGTCAATTCAAACAATTGAAAGACCCTCAGCATGCAGTACTGCTTTTCTGACAGTTGCAGATATGTGCAAGTCTTCATCCAAAGTCGCCGTTCACAAAAACCAAAGACAATGTGTTTGCTAGTGGATCCACAGACACCTGTCTTGATCTTAAAGGTGATAATAAGCGAGAAAATTGGTGTGCAGCCTCAACAACAGCGACTGTTCATCCGAAGAAACCTTCGTAACTTTGAGGTAAAGATAGCTCTATATTTTATAAAGTAACCATGTGGTAAATTCCCAATCTACATTACATCGAATTAAAGGCCATGCATTGTGGGTTTTAGTGTCAGCCTCTTCTGATTTACATTACACTAGTCGTGCATATTAAACCAGTGCTGCTTCTGATGTCAGTGCAGTGGCACTTAAGCACTCAAGTAATAGATTAACAACGATTATATATAGCCCCACCGATTCAGTCTCACATGATTTCATTGCACCCGGATGAAAGTTAATTTTACAACTTTTGTTTAGCCAGGTTGTGTAGTCACATCCACCCAAATGGCATCGTTCAACTCTTTTTTTTAGAGAGTGCACTGTGTGTAACATCAGGGTGTTATTTTTTCCAGCTTCATAATTTGCTGACACTTCACGACTGTGGAACATCTCACTCCGTCTGTGCACTGATGGCCTACTGGGTGGTGGACTAAAAGGTATATGATTAAGAAAAAATATACCCTTTCGAGATGTTGATAAACCTGAGGGCTTCCCTCGTAATTTAGGACGGGATGCCAAATCAACCTCAGTATCTATATTCATTTCTCAAAAATGAACGACCTAAGCAACTTTAGCGAAAGCCTTTGTACTGGTATATCAAATTGTCAGATCAGGATCCACGCTCTTGCATTCTGCTGTTTTGTGAGTCTGGTGAATAGCAAGTACTTGTAGTTTAAATTGTGTTGAGCCACCTCCGATGTTATTCTCACAAGAGAAACACTCATTGACATTGATGCTTTCAGTTACACACTGACGAAAAGGTTTCTTTTTGTTTCGCAGACAAACAAATTGTTGATGACCAGTTCTTTCGGGACTTGGCTTCGAATACTGAATCATCTTGGGAAGAAATGGCGAAATTACTGGAATTTGAAGAGGCAGAAATCAAGCAAATCCAAACCAACTCCCAAGACAACAAAGAAAGGAGCCTACAGATGCTACTTTCTTGGTGGAGAAAGCAAACAAATCGAGAAGAAGGATTCCAACGTTTGCGAGATGCATTAAATTCAATCGGGCGTGCTGATTTGGTCTTAATGATTCCATCAGATGAGCAACAGAGGATGAAACAACTTGGTCCTCGAGACAAGCCTCATCTAGAGGTACAATTGGGAGGGGCTAAAGAACAGAGCAAGCAAAAGGTGGCTACGTCATCTGAAGACCAGAGACATATGGTCGGTCACAGAGACAAACCTAAGCAAGAGGTTCAAGTGGGAGGGGCTAAAGAACAAAGCAAACAGAAAGGGACTACATCATCGGAGGACCAGAATCCAGGACAGGAGGAAGTTGTTCATCGAGGCAAACCTCAATCAGAGGTACAAGTGGGAGGGGCCCGAGAACAAAGCAAGCAGAAAGGGTTGACATCATCGGAGGACCAGAGACCAGGACAGGAGGAAGTTATTCATCGCGACAAACCTCAATCAGAGGTACAAGTGGAAGAGGAGAGCAAGCAGAAAGGGAGTACAGCATCTGAGAAGCAGAGACCGAGACACGAGGTACACGGCCGACTTCACAGACAAGAACCAGGAGCTGTTGAAGAGCATGGCATACAGAAGCATATCAGACCATCAGATGAGGAACAGAGACCGAGTCAGGAGGAGGTTGGTCATCCAGACAAACTTCAATCAGAGGTACAAGAGAAAGAGGAGAGCAGGCAGAAAGGGAGTACAACATGTAATCGACAGAGACCGGGACAGGAGGAACAAGACCATCTTCAAAGACATGATGAGGAACAGAGACCGAGTCAGGAGGAGGTTGGTCATCGAGAGACGGCTGAGGTACAGAATCAAGTTGCAGGTGCCGGAGAACAAAATTCCCAAAATGTTTCAATGACATCATCCCAATCACCCTCATTTAAAAATCGTTTAAAAAGGTCTGTTCTCTCATTATTGCCGAAAAGGAAGAAGGCAAGAGGGCAAAAATTAGGACATGAGCAGATGGGGGATGAACACAGTAGGCAGGCAGAAAACCAAAGGGCTGGGTTTCATGAATCACGGAAAACGCAGGAAGGGACTTCATCATCTGATGGACTTTGTCCGAAACAGGAGTATGTTGGTCATCGAGATAAACTACAAAAAGACGTTTTAGTAGAAGGGGATAAGGAACAGAGCAAGCAGAAGGGGACTACATCAACTGGGGACCATAGACTGAGTCAGGAGGAAGTAAGTCATGAAGCCAAACCTGAACCAGAGGAAGAAGTGAGAGAGGCTAAAGAACAACGCCAGCTGAAAGGAACTACATCATCTGAGGGACAAATACAAAACCAGCAAGAGGCAGGCGGCACAGAGCCGAGTATTCAGAAAGAGAGGATGCAATCATCCGAGGATCATGGACTGAAAAGGTTAACACACCAAAATCCAAGTCATGGGCAAGTGGATGTTGCTCCAAGAAATCATTCAGAGATACAACAGAGTTTGGTCAGGGAAACGACATCACAAGTCGGACAGATAATGCAGAGTCCAAGTTCAGTTCAAGACATCGCACCTGTAGGACTCCAACTAGGAGCCTCATCCCCATCAGCTGCTGTACTCAGATGTGGACCCGTGCAAGTGCAACACGTTTCAGTGGATTCCATGCATATTGGCGGTGCAAATAATCCGACCTTCCTGGGACCTGTAAATGATCCTACTTTCACCATCATTCAGAACGTGGCTATGCCAGAAAGCAGTCCAGGTAAATAATAATACGCAGATTCCAGTATATCGTATCTTCTCTCGCTTGCTATTTTCTCTGTTTTCCTCTATCATAAAGTCGAAAATTGTTTTCAAGATATACTGTCCGTGCCCAATAAATGTTCGCTGCTTCTCCACTAAAATGCTATAGATATTTTTTCAAATGCTATAATTAAAAGACAAAAAAGGTGCGTAGCAAGGTCATTTTGATTGGGGGGGGGGGGGTGGCATTGTAGACGTACACAAAGGGCACATTGTTCTTTTTCTTGGTAACCCGACCTCCGTAAAATAAAATAAAAGAATGGGGGGGAGGGGGACTGGACACCATTTCCTATTGGGGCCATGTGCAAAGCGGACGACCATGGGAACTATTGGGCAATTTAATAGTCAGTGTTCTTCGTGCTGGCACAATTGCTGCGTTCATGGGACGATAAATATAAAGACAACTCGTGGACAAAAAATTCTTAAAACTCTCCAGGGGGAGTAATAACCACCTTACCCACCCCAGATGCTACGCCACTGTACTCCAACAACTACTTTAATTCTATTTGGGGCAACAAGTAGACTTGTTCCCGGTCCTTACATTATCGACACTTAAAATACATTTTTCGATGAACGTGGGATTATTTTCGATGTCTAAAAATACTGTTTGTATTACAAGAAAAATGGCAATTTGCAAATAAAGTGTATTATATGGGGTTTAACTAGAATATAATACATTTTTAAATATTCGGCTACAAAAAGTGACGGAGACGCCAATTGTGCCACTAATTGATAATATGGTTTGGGAAAAAACGGCTAAAAGGGGTCATAGGAAAATCAAAAACATGAAGTGCGATTGTATACATTTGCTTCAAAGGAATTCTGGTTTAATAACGGAGGGGTGGGGACGCTGGATTTAAGTGCATCATTTATTTTTGTTACGCCTGTGCCGCTGCAAGATACACAAGTAATGTTGCATCTTTTCTTTTAATAGCCGAGATGGGAAGAGCTAAATCCAGTCCGAGTGATGCTGCTAGTCAGTGCAGGAGTGAATTGAAAGACCGGTATACTACCACAGGTAGTTACGTTCAGTTAATACCCTGGGTCGATGACGACATGAAACATATTACGGACATATATACAGAGTTACAATTAGAACAGGGTGACCAGGATGACATAGAGGGGTTTGTTAAAGAGTATGGGGACATTTTCCTCGTTAAAACTAAAGACGGGAATGTGATTAAACGCGCCATTTTGTGTGGGTCAGCTGGGATGGGGAAGTCAACCATTATTGACAAAATGGCATACGACTGGGCTACAGGTGTTGCACTTGGAGAGTTTCCACTTTTGTTTGTATTAAAAATGTCCGCTCTCGAACAAACGTCGGATCTTGTTGATTCAGTGTTTGACCAACTTTTATCAGATGACACAAAGGTTAACAAGCATGATTTGGAAGCATTTATTAAAGACAATGGTAGTAGTGTGCTCATTCTGATAGATGGTTTTGATGAATTCGGGACAACTAACCTGGAACCAGAGAAATTTGGGTCCATTCTAAGAATGCTCAATCGAAAATTTGGCAAAAAATGTTTTGTAGTTGTAACAACACGCACCTCACACTTTGCTAAATTGGCAAGCAAATCACTCATTTCCAAACCTTTCACCCATGTGAAAGTTTTGGGATTGAGGAAGGAAGATATTGGGCAGTATGTGAAAAGGTTTTTCTCTGAAAAGCTTAATATGGCTGAGGGACTTCTTGATAGGATTCAGTCATCGGATGTGCTGTCTGATTTGTCAAAAAGTCCCATGTTTCTTCTGCTGATGTGCGTATTATGGAGGGAAAAGTCAAAGCTACCCGAAACTTTATCAAGATTGTTCAGTCAGGCAGTTAGATACATATTTCGAAGAAAAATGCCTGAAATATCAGAAGAAGCAATATCGGAAGTACTAATTGCAATCGGCAAAACTGCATTAAAAGGGCTTGTTTCTCCAGAACAAAGACTTTCATTTCAAGAGGGAGAGTTTGAGAAGAGTGTACTTGATAAAGCAATACAAGCGGGTATTGTCACTAGTCAGAGGGTCATGAATTGGCTTGACACGCACAATAACGTGCAGTTCATTCATAAGACTCTTCAAGAGTACTGCGCAGCTATGTACTGTCAGAGTCTTTTAGGGAAAGACGATGAGGAATTTCAAGAGATTCTTGATAAAATGTCGAACGATCCTAGGAATTTTGAGTACATATTGCGTTTCTGCTGTGGCGACAATCAACAATGCACAAGGCGTATTTTGCAAAACATGCACGAGAATCCACATCACGGTGAAGTGGGGAAGTTGGCCGTACATTGCTACTTTGAATGTCAGCCAAGTGATGTGTTATCAGTTGATTTCATCGAGTCGTTTTTCACTGAATCTATGCGGATAGATAACTATAGCAATGACTCAATGAACTCACTCGCGTGGTTGCTGCATCATGTTGCCGAGCAGACAGAGCTCTCAGAAGTACATGAAGTCATATTTACTGGGTGTGACCTTTCAAGATTGAGTGATGTCGTACTTTCACGTTTGAACAGAATGAACAATCTGCGCGTATTGCATTTTAATAATTGTTCACTCAATGGTGGCGATCATTTGGAACGTTTATTTTTACCAACAGTTGCAGGACAGAAAGACTGGGCGGTCAAGTTGCGCAGAATGAAATCCCTCACAGCACTCTGTTTACGCAGATGTAGCTTAATCCCGCGCGATGTAATAGACATTGCATCATCTGTTCGGGAGATGCCAAACTTGGCCGATCTTAATCTTTCAGGCAATTACTTAAATGATTGGAATGCTGGCACGTGGGTATGGGCGGCTAGTTTGCAGTCGATGATTAACCTAAAGAAACTTGACTTGAGTGATTGTTGCATTTACGGTCACGATGTAAACAGCATCGCTCAATCGGTGAGTCGCATGGCGAATCTGGTGGATTGTGATTTCAGTAGTAGATCCGCTGGGGAGTGGCGTGTAAAGTCAATGGGTAAGGGAATACAGTTGAGCATTAGCAGGTTGTCACAAACCGGCGAGCATATGGCGGATATTTTGCAGTCATTCAGTTATCGAAGAGATTTAGTCAGTATGATCCTTTATGGTGATCATGGTCTGGGTGGTTCTGCAGGTATGTGGACCCCACCCTTACGAAACATGACGGAACTTCAGGAGTTGGATTTAGGTCAATGCGCACTGCAAAGCACTGACATCGAACACATTGCTGCCGCAGTAAGTCAAATGCCAAACTTGGCCGTTCTTACACTTTCATACAATAAGGACGTGGGTGGTAAGGCAGAAAGGTGGGCGGCTAGTTTGCAAAGGATGATTCACCTAGAGAAGCTCAATATGAGTCTTTGTGGCATTATAAGTCGCGATGTGAAACACATCGCTGAATCAGTAAGTCGCATGAGGAATCTGGTAAATTGTAACCTCGGTTTGTTTGGAACGTATCATGTACAGCCATGCGGTAATGGCATACGACTTATCATTACTGGGTCTTCACTAACTGGCGAGGATATGTCGGTTATTCTGCAGTTGTTCAGTAATCGGAAAGATTTAGTCAGTTTGGTCATTGAAGGCATCGATGGTCTGGGTGGTTCCGCAGATATCTGGAGCCAACCCTTACAAAACCTGACGGAACTTCGGAAGTTGAATTTAAGTGATTGCTCACTGCAAAGCGCTGACATTGAACACCTTGCTGCAGCATTAAGTCAAATGCCAAACTTGGCCAATCTCAAAATTTCAGAGAATTCGAACTTGGGTGGTCACGCAGGAACGTGGGCGGCTAGCTTGCAGTCGATGATTCACCTTAACAAGCTTGACATGAGACATTGTAGCATTAACAGTCGTGATTTACAACGCATCGCTGAATCAGTCAGTCGTATGCCAAATCTAATGAATTGTGATTTAGGTAGTCACTCTAAAGAGTTTCATGTACAGCCATTGCGTAATGGCATACAACTGACCATTAAGAGGTTCTCACTGACCGCTAGTGATGTAGCCAATATACTTCAATCATTCAGTATTAGGAGAGACTTGTTCAGTTTGAATTTTTTTGACATTGATGGTCTGAATGGTTACGCAGGTATATGGACCCCACCTTTACAAAACCTGACGAAACTTCGGGAGTTAGATTTAAGTTTTTGCTGTTTACAAAGTGCTGACTTTGAACACCTTGCTTCAGCATTGAGTCAAATGCCAAACTTGGCTGATCTTAGCCTCCCTCAGAGGGGGAACGTGGCTGGTAAAGTCCAAAGGTGGACGACTAGTTTGCAGAGGATGATTCACCTAAAGAAGCTTCAAATACGATATTGTAAAATTCACAGTCGCGAAGTTAAATTTGTCGCTGAATCAGTCAGTTGCATGGAGAATCTGGTGGATTGTGATATCGGTAGTTATCATGGGGTGTTACGTGTGTGGAAATGGCGTAATGGCATACACCTGAGCATTAAGGGGTTCTCTCTTACCAGCGAGGATATGACGAATATATTACAGCCATTCAGTCATCGGACAGATTTAGTCAGTTTGAACCTAGAGAACATTCGTGGTCTTGGTGGTTCCGCAGGCGTGTGGACCCCACTCTTAAGATACCTGATGGAACTTCGGGAGTTAGGTATAAGTGATTGCTTTCTACAAAGCACTGACATTGTACATCTCGCTGGGGCTGTAAGTGAAATGCCAAACTTGGCCGTTCTCAAGCTTTCAGAGAATTCGCACTTGGGTGGTAACGCCGGATTGTGGGGAGCTAGTTTGCAGAGGATGAGCCACCTGAAATCACTCGATTTATCTTTTTGCGACTTAAATGAACAAGATGTACCACACGTTGTTTTATCAATTGGGGAGCTGCCAAACTTGGCCGATCTTGATTTTTTGTGCAATGTGGATCTCGGTGGAAAGGCATGGACGTGGGCGGCTAGTTTACGGAGGATGATTCACCTGAAATCACTCGATTTATCGGGATGTCGCATAAGTGAACAGGATATGCTACATATTGCATC